GCAAAAGACTTGGTAAGCCACCCACAGATCACCTCAGCTATCCAAATATGAAATGCATTTTTCAGAGCTATCAGTCATATAAATTATTCTAATGCTGCAAAGTTTAATATGGCTCAATTTTTGCTGCAGTGGTAAATCAGGTTTACAGATATTCTAATGACAACAGGATAATTAATTTTGCTTCAAACTGAAAAAAGAAAGTCTTCAACTTGATCAAGATGAAATTTTGAGTTGACAGCATACACTTTTATGTTTTTTCAAAAATGAGTCATAGAATTTTTAAAATTGATATGCAAAATATGTAAAGTTCAAATTGGAAGGCATTTATGTAACATACTAGTGTTGTTTTTTCCCCCCACTTGCATTATTAAAAATAATATAAAACACTCGATCTAATAAATGTCATGTCTAATGAAACACCTGTTCAAGCAGATTAATTACTACTATTCATATTAATTAATTAACACTACTCATCTTGCCAGGAGATCACCGTTGCATGTCTATTAACACACTATAAGACATGAGCATGCCAGTCAACCCAGAGATCCCTGGGATAAGAATCTGCCACAACCAGCGAACACTGACCTATACAGCTCGACCTGCCAAAACACTGAGGTAGCTGCTGTGATTATAAAACAGCCTAAACTCCACAGAGACTCGTTTTCGCATTAGCCCTCAAACAGGAAGAGGAAGGGGGAGTAGGCTATGTTTTATTACGATGGTCCAGATAACAGCAGACCCTTGTTTATGTATTTCTCACCTCACTAATCAAAGCCAAGAGGAAGAAAAATCCCTGCAAGGCCACAGGAACTTAAAAGCTATGAAACTTTGTAAGCATAACGAGTCACTTTATTCAGAACATATACATCCAGCCGCGTTTTTTGTTTTCTTGTTTCAACTTTTATTATATATTATCCTCTAGCTACTAGTATAAACAGGCAGTCAATGGGTTACTGATTGTCCCTTTGAGCTAATTAGTAATGGTTGTGCTGTGTTTTTTGACCTTTAAGTGTCTACACCTGAGGCTAATTAGATTTCTTTTTATTTATAACTTTGGGACATGGAGTAGCCACAAGTGGACACAGTGATGCAACAGTTCTAGCTATAGCATCACCATGCCACCAGAGATACACTATGTGGACAAAAGTAATGGGCAACACCTCTTTAGCTGTTTGTACAAACAGTCTCAATTAGAGCCTGCTATTGAAACTCCTTCTTCTAAGTATTCCACAATAAACTATGAGTTATGTTATTGCAAAGTGGAAGTGTTTAGGAACCACAGAAACTCAGCCATGAAGTGGAGTCCATGAAGTGAGCAGCTTCTGCAGGTGTTTTATGTGAGTGTCCTGGTATTTATAATAAACCGTGTAAACGGTCATAAATAGATTAATAACCAAAAAATCTTCAGATTACAGATTGTGGTTTATATCATCAAAAGGTGTCAAATAAGCTTAAAAATGCTAATTTATAATATCCCTTGTGTTACAGCTTTTTTTCCTGTTCACTGTTAAGAAAAATAAGACAGGAAATGAAAAGTAAAAACTCCATCAGATACTGTTGGTTTGATGCTCAGCAGAAAAGCATCTTTGGACCCTGAAAAAAACAACCATGAGCTGAGTGGATAAAATATATCCACTCTGCACCTATTTATGGTAGAAAACAGTGAAGACAGCGTAATTATCCAACGCTCTTTAAAAGTCAGAGCACTCAATGGCGGCTATTAGTGGCACAATGAGACAAGAGCAGCCATTCCGCCCCAACCACAGCCTCCATGCCTCATCTGTGATGTTGTGATCTAAATAACTACGTATTTTTTGTTGCTGAAGTACCAGAACTTCTGCTCTAAACTGCTATCATAGACAATCATCACATTTAATTCAGAAATTCCCTTTTATCAAGGAAACATTCTGCCAGAGTAGTTTTCTTTGCTAAAACACATCAGTGTAAAGTACAGTTAAATAACTGATGATGCAAAGCTTTCACAATGACACAAAACAGGGCAAAGCATCAGTTGTTTTCTTATCAATACAAGAATAGACTGCCTATTTCTTAAATACAGTGATATTTGCCAAAGGATCAAAATAAATCATATGCATTTTCAGAATGACTCTAATAAAATATCGTTTTAATTGTCACTTTTTTTAGTTCTTGGTGTTCTATGTTTACAAAAAAAGGTGTTAAATTAAACGTGAATATGAAAGAAATACAAAGACAGCCTGAAGTTATACACTGACAAGCTATTCATGAAGGGAAGAGAGATGGAAGTACATGCTATCAACTTTCACTGTGACTATGTTTACATGCGAGTGCTGGTCCTGAAAGGCCACTTCATCCAGATTAAGGTCTAAGGTCGTTATGAAAGAACTCTACTGTATTGCACTGTACTCAGCTGGAAAGTATCAGTGTCCGGATCAACTTCAATTCACAGAATCTCATTCAAAGCAAGACACAAACTTGGGATTCTTCAGTAAAACCACAGACAACAATGAACAACTTCCATGTGAGGTTTTGGGAGCAGGAATAGGTTTCTATCATCTACATCTTTGAAAAATCCTTTTGGTTTTGATGCACCTCACCAATAATAATGTCGAGGCAGTAAATGACTTTGGGACATATAAAATCCTCAAGCGGATTTTTTGTGTTCCTGCAGTGATCCAGTATATTTCATAGCCAAGGGCTCTCAAGATTATCTGGTTCACTGCAGAACTGTACAATAAGTAAGCTGTTAAGTGCTGAGTGTTACACGCGACTGCTAATGCACACTTTGGCTGTTGTGCACCACAGCCAGCAACAAACATAATCACCATCTTAATACAAACCAAAGAAACAACTTAATGTAACAGAAACTTCATCTAATTCACATCCATAACTTTAGGATACTGAATTCTACTACTACTGCTACTCAGCAACTTTTGAAAAGCAGACTTAACAACACGTTTTTCCCCTGAGAGATTGTATCAGCTCACCCAAATTCCACAATGACACAACAGTACTTGGGCGAGGGAGAGGGGTGATGAATGGAAGAAAAGCCATTTTCTTACAAGCTGTTATTTTACGGAAAATGTGTTTCATATCTTTACTTTAATCAGCAAAGTGGGTGGCAGAGTGTTTAGTGGTAACTGTGGCCTACCCCAGCTTCCTCCTACAATTCCAAGAAATTTATATTAAGCTGACTGGTGATTCTAAGGATGCCTGAGAATGAGGGGAAGATAAAGATCTTGAAACATATGGGAAAAAGTGATGTATGAATGTATAATTAAATGTGGCCTGTAGTCTAAAGACTTTGAATATGACAGCAAGTTTTGATATTAGACAGCTTTGAAGCAATGATAGAAAAAGGAGCAAACAATAAAATGGTTAAAATATTCAAGAATAACATCTTCTCGTCTTCAGTTTTGGTTAAAATGCTGTAAATCAGTCTAAAGAATGATTCCAAAACACTTACTAGGCCAGCAATCGGTGTTGGAAGTCTGTTGATTTTCTTCACCAGTCCAGGTCTAATTGAGCTCAGCAACCTGACAAAAGACGCATAAAAAAAAGAAGAGTTGTGGCTTTAAAACTTCTTTTAATGACAAGTTGACTTCAATACTTCAAAGCATGCGTTTCAAAGTTGAAACGTCGCTAGAGCAGAATGAAATAACTGCAGGCAAAATACATGAATAGGTTTAAACTGTGGGTGTCTCTACAGAGAAAAGAAAGGGGAATCTAAAGGGATACAGAAACATTTCTAAAAACTCCCCTGTGGCGTCTGGAACGTCTATAACGACGACGCAGCCTAAATCACAGTGGAGAATCGTTTGTGCTCCTTTCACCCACTGGGACCTGTTAACTACTTCCAATAAATGTTATATCACAGGGAAGCACACATGAGTAGGTTTGTCCTGGTGCTGTCATCTCTCATCAGACCCACGCCGATGCAAAAACTTTTTGGCGGGAAGTGTACAGTACATTGCATTCCTCAAACTCTGCCCGCTTATCAGCCATGAACAAGCAGTTTCAGCATTCCCGCCTCTCTCTCCCTTCCTCTCTGTCTCCAGTTTCATCTTTTGTGCGTGTTTTCATCAGAGGAAGCGCTGTAATGATTCTCCTCTAAAAAGGAAAAATCCGCCCTTGGATACGAGGTATTAGATATCAACAGTCTTATGATGTTCATAGTAATTCAGCAGGTATTTTGAGATGAAGTGCTGTAATTTACCTTTTCAGTGAACTCTCTTTCCCTCAGCATGCCTCATGTACTCCTACGTTTAGTTGAAGATTTCCTGCTACACTGTATATTTCCAAGAATAATTCTGAACGACCCCAGGAGAAGGCAGTTCTTAATCCTACCTACATGCCAATATATTAAGATGTGTAGGTGGGGAGAATGAGTAATGGCATCAGAGAAGACAATATTTTCACTCTGAAAATTGCCTGGAATGTGAATGTTTGTCTGCTTTTTTTAAAATGTAAGACTTTGTTTATAAACATGTTTTGGGGGAAATGGTTTTCAAATCCCACCGTGGCTTTGATGGAATTATTCAAACTTATATGCTGGGAAAAGAGGCCCACTCGTGTCTCCTGAAAATTTCATTTTCAGCCATTAACATGGTTGAACTGTGAGAGACGTGTCATCTATTATCAAAACAAAGGCACAGTCAAAAGAAATCTAGACACATAAACAAATAATCTTATGAGTGTGTACAGGGACATTTCCTAATTCTTTGAATATCAGGAAAATGAGGAAGAGGTTGGAGAGCATTTAAACTGTATGATTCAATCAGGTCTCTTCTCTACCTGAATTATAAGTAAATGAATTACTTGACTGGTTGCACAGTTTTGGGGCCAAGAGGATGTCACATGCTCCAGTAACCAAGGACTCACAATTTTGATCACAGCTCTTGCCAATGACCTCTATAAACGCACTGTTTTAATGATCCCCAGTCTGTAATCAATCTGCGACAGTGGCTACAGTCAATCTGTAGCCATTTACTTACAAGATTATCCCGGACATTGCACGACTTTTTCTCCAACAGCATCTGTCACTTTATCTCAGGACTTAATAGGGAAATCTTATGATGCCATAGCAATACTTGCATTGCCACTTTTAATCCAGCACAAATGGCTAAATTAGTCTTTATTTACTTGGTTGCAATTTTCCCCCCTTTTGTCAGTCACTTAGAAAGCAATGTCAGGCTTTTATTTTTGAGACTTACAGTACTACTGCACGTCTAAATATTCCATGATTTCCCGGAAATCCCCAAACCAGTGGGCACACTGGTAAATTGGCTCTGATATCTGTATTCACAATAAAGACAGCACAAACGCTGCGTTCGTGCAACACCGGCAGCAACTGGAACGTGGAAGAGGAAAGCGCAAGTGCATGTGAGTGCTTTCAGTCTCGTTTCAGCACCTCGACTCAATATGAGTGGGTATACCAGTTCAAGAGTCAAACTAGACGACAATTGAACCGGACGCCAGTCTTTCTGATCACTGGACCACACTTCAAAGTACTTGAAACAAAAACCTGCTTCACTGCTAATGTTCTTTCTATTCGCTTTAAATAGTGTGTGATTATTTTACATTTACACTCCCTCTTCAAAATTCATTTAACCAACCAGAGCATCATGATACCGAAACAAATACAGTATTAAACCAAACAGCATATGTACAATTAAATTACAAAAACATTACAATGAATTGGTAAGATGACTAATCATTGAAAACTATTCAAGAATAATAAACGTACAAACCAGAGATGTGTAACACTCTGCTACTAGATTATAAGAAAAAACCCCCAAAACAACAACAATAACAAATATAGTCACAACTTACTCGCACAGTAGTATTCCATTCTCCAAACCTCCTCGGAAATCCTTCTCACCAAAACATCTTCCTGTCACAGCCTGCAGATGGGAGTAAAAGAATTGAGTTAGCAACATATAACATGTAAAGAGGGCTTCAGGTTAAAAGAAAAATTAAGAATGAAAAAAAAAAGTGCACCAAAAATTGTGTTTAGTGGCATTCACTGCTGAAAACCAAAAAGCAACACTTATCAGCACACCTTTTAAATCTTTCTTTGAACTGGATAGATTGTGTGGAGAGGTGCACAAAGACTTATACATATATCAAGTCCCTCTCAAGTCAACAACGCTAAACGCTAACAAGCTTGACATAAGCTGCAGTCATCCCAGCCAAGTGGCTCTGGCAGGCTAATGTGGTGGGACAGGGGATTTATCGGGTAATAGTTGGTCAGACCCTCTGAGGAAAAAAAGCTGCCAGCTTGCGTGTGAACAACTACTGTACATCATAAAACATGCATTTACTTGGACAAATATTGCACCAGATATGTATTAATCTCAGATGTGACATTTCGTTTCAGTTACTGTGAGAAGTGATGGTTGTTCTTTACTGCAAGAGATTCTGGATTCTATTTTAAAGCTCTTAAGCTTTTTGAGCTACTTTTATGTGTAAAACTGGTCAATGACAAACACATACATGCATTTTTTCACAGACAGACAAATAGACAGATAGATAAAATATAAGCAATCTTATAGATAATCTTATCTTTAGTGCAACTCCAGTGTTGAAATAATTACCTCCTACTCCAAAAATCTGCTGTTGCGAGACTTTTAGGACCAAGCCTACTTAAAATCTATTTATTCCCACAAACGCTGGCAGACAGTTGGTGTAAAATGAGGAGACCTCTTTAGAATGCTCTTTTAAAAGCCAAAACAATTACAAGATTAAATTTCCTGAGAATTTCTTTCACATTTGTTTGCACAGCTGTGGGGAAAAGAAAAAGCATGGCGATGTAGAGTATCTGGCCTGGCTGGATCTTTCTGTCAGCTTCTTGGCTAGTTTGGGAACCTGGACCTCTTACAAAAGAAATGGACTGCTGTGTGTCAATGAGTGGGCCGACAGTAGGCCTCATTTCTACGAGAGGCGTGATGTTTGGTGTTCAGGAGAGGCAGATAAAGAGATAAGCGGTGAAAGGAAAGTGGCAGAGAATTTTTCACTTTGCTGACATTTAGCTATTCACTGCCACTATTCCATACGGCAGCAGCACTTATGAACAGGCCATTGTGTGTCTGGTGTTGACAGCACAAAAGCAATGAGTGAAGCCTGAGTGTGAGGCCTAAAAGTCTGCCTTACAGTGCAAACAGATGGTTCACAAACCCACACTGTAACGGACCTGCTCTGCACAAAGAACTAATATTTCTTGAATTAAACATGAATCGGACAAAGGTCTATTCTAAGAGTTAAAAGTTTCTTTCTAAAACATGTGTTGTGCCTAGACACTCTTTACAGACATACAATGCAGGGTAGGGATGCATAAGATGCAGGATTATGTGCCAGGAGACCAAAATTTGGACCTTGGTTTTACTTTTCTCCCCCACTCACTGTTCGATGTCGTTTTTACTCGCAGGTTAGGATTAGTCACTAACATCTACTTGGTAAGGTTTAGAAAAAAATGACAACATGTTCCTTTAAAAGCGTAATTCCTCTTGTGTAAGTTGTGTAAGTGAGACACAGGCAAACTCAATCTCAAACTTAATCTGCAAGCAGGGAATAGAGCCAGTTTGTTATATTGTATTTGATTAACCTGCACAATACCTGCTGTGCAATATGCAGACTTGTATTTGCATTATTTTTCTTACAAATACCTAACAAATAAAAAAAATTGTGGGAAAATGGCACCCCACAATAGTGTTCATGAGTTGGATCTCGTTATCTTTAAACTTAATTTGCACTGCTGTATAGTTTATGGACATACAGACAAAAAGAGCAACCAGTGTGCATCTGTGTGTTTATGCACCAGTGTGCATAGATGTGTCTAGGACCACACTGTGTCATAATGACATGCCCGCACACACGCACACTGCGATAACAATCCCATAAATGGTCTTGCAGTTGGAAACAAGATACAACATGTTATAGAATGAGGTTCTGTGATCCTCCTACATGCATTTTGTTCCCTCTATAGACAGCCAGGCTAGCTATTTCTCCTTGTAATCTGTTATAAAATTTACAGAGTGTTTAGAATGGTCACATCTAACTCAGGAATAAATCAAATAATTCCCCAAATGTTAATTGGTTTAGTCAAGCAGACGGCTATCAATGTACAACATTTTCTTCATTGACTGCCAGTAGTAGTTGGAGTCACTTTGATTCAGGGTAAAGTTACCTCGCCAGAAAATTGTCTTGGCTCTTCCTGCTCATGCTTAACTTAAACAGTAAGATTAAATCGATTCCAAAACCACACCAAATAAATATTTTATAACACAAAAGATTCTTTTGTGAGAGATTTTACAACTAGAGGACAGCTAAATGATCGCACTATTAGCTAATGGCATTTTCATCCTTTATACAGTTGAGAATGAAATTTCCAGGTCTTACAATACTTTGTATACTGTAGTGTTGTGCATAAGAGATTATCCTTCCCAGGGGATTAGCGTTACTGAATAGCAATCCCAGGTTACAGCACATTAAAAATAGCATTCCCTGGTTTGGTTCAAGACAGCAACATTTCATGGTCAGTCGACTAGACAGACAAAAACAACACTGGCCATTATTCTTTAAAATAAAAAATAAAAAAACTTTCTATGCTGACTTATAATGTCCTTACAGGTGGTATTTTATGATTTCAGTGGAATACACATAAACTATCATAATTTCATGAAAAAAAAGAAACAATGAAAAAAATGTTTAGAACTGTACGTGAATATTAAGCTTTTTTGCCAAATCCAATAAATCCCATATTTCATTTTATTGGCCTTCAGTAGGTCAAAAATCCTCAGTGGAAACCAGTGTCTCCAAGGGTAAATCAATTAATCAATCAATCAATTAAATCAATTGCCTTTTGGGATTCATGCACATTAATATCAATTACATGTTTGACTTCTGGCTACAGAAAGTTCTGACCTGTAGAAAATGTAAAGGATTTGGTATCCTCATTATCCTGCTTTTCAGTTTGGCAGTGTCTGCACCCAAGCCAAGGACTTTGATTCATGCACATCTGTGGCTCTAATAAGTGCCATTGTTAGAAGACACTCCTAACTCCTCTGTGACCCAAGGGAATTCTTCGTTTGACCATTTGAGCAAAATACAAAATCAAATGGACATATTAGGTAAAATACTTGTTGATAATGGGCATACCAGTGGTGACATTAAAAATAAAAATCATTATTTATAATAAGGGGCTAGCTACCTGCGTGGCCTTGCATCTCTGTTGCATCAGCTATTAAAATATTATTATTACCTGCAGGTTAATTATAAAGACACAGAAATCTACAAAAGATAATTTCAAGTGGGCAATAAAGATTTCAACAAAAACATTACTCACAGCAGCTATAATGGAAAGACTAATATCACAAAAACTATTTCCTGATCACAAAAACAAATATTCCGATGAGAACATTTCGAATTTAAAAGCTGTCAACGCGAAGATAAAGAATTTACAGCTTTGTAAAGAGCTGGAAGCTTCTGGATATGAATGTGTTTTCTAACCCCTTCAGGGTCATATGAGGGTATTCAATTAAAAAGAGGAATGTGTTGCCTTTGTTGTTTTCAGTGGAATGTCGCCCACATTGTTTCACACACAATCGAACGTTGTTGATTGGCTTTACTTTCCTTCTTTTCGCTTCCTTTTCCTTCAGAAGCCCTTCATGTGTCCAGACCAAACTAATTCTCATGGATTCATGTCTAGAGCACCCATTACTATTATTCTTACATCAACAAATAAAAGAAATCCCCGTTGGTTTGGAAATGCATGAATGAAGCTTGCAGAGTCAAACTTTTGCCAAATCAAGTATCCCTGAGGGAGCATTGGTGCGTGTGAATCTATTTTTTTACTTTGATGAAACGATTTCTGAAAACGAATACCCAATAAAAGGTCTAGCATGGAAACTCCCAGGAGACTTTGCTTTCATGTTCTGAGAAATAAAACATGTGAAGTTAGGAGTCTCCTCCAAAGTTAAATCCTATCTGACGGTGGACCACAATTTCAAAACAATTTACTAAAAAAATATCGCCAAGAAAAATGAAAAACTAGGAACAGCAGTCATAACAACAGCTATATCAAAGAGCCTTCCATCAAACCATTGAGTCTAAGACTATCAGTGTTGGCTCCCTGTCTGAACCAGATTACTGCAATCCTTCCACTGTGACTGTCATCCAATGAAAACAAAGCCATTGCAGTAATCTCAGAGGCCTTGCTTTGGACCACTACCTGTCCCAAATTATTAAGTAGTAGCTCAAGGTTTACAGAGAAGCTGTTTTTTGTGACTTGTAAAAGTAAAATATTACTTACATCAGGACCCTTGGGCAAAGTGTTATCGGCCTGTTAAAGAGCTGAAAGCTGCTAGCTCAGGGGCTGGTGAACATAAACAGAGACATGTGCTTCCAACCCACAGACTGCTTTATAACCACATGCCTCCTTTGTAGTCAAACACATTCTGCTTCACAGGATGTTGCCTTAAGTGTGTTGCATAATCCTGGTGGAATCCAACACTATGTGTTCAGGTCCAAGAACACATGTAAATACGTCTTCTGGCCTAGGGCCGATAATCTTGTTAATTCAACTGGGCAAGAATCTATCCTAATCTGTAAATGCTTCTGATTAACAGAACAAAGGCAAGAGTATGTAACCTAGCAACTCACTAAGAAGTGCGGGAGGAACAGAAAGAAACAATAATGCTGCTGCGTGATTTGTGAAGTCTAGTGTCTTTTCAAAGCAAGCGACACAACAATAAAACCACTCAATGTGTTCAGTACTGGAGAATCTAAATCAACTTTCCAGTTCAAGACAAAACACCATCTTGGCACAGAAATGGAGCGTAAACTGCCAAGTTTTTAGTATCATAAAAAGATAAAAATCTTGCCTTTGGCTTTTTTGAAAATAAAG